CAAGCTGTTGTCCTTCAATCTTAGTTGTGGAGGGCGCAGCTAGCTCAGCTCCAAGCCCAGTCGCTGCTTTCAACCTAGTTGCGGGGCAGCGCAGCCCGCCATCCCATTGCGGGAGTCAAACCAGAAACCTTGTTGCTAAGTGCGCACACGGGCAGCTCAGCGGCAGCTCAGCTCAGGCGCAGCTCACTGGCCCGTGTGGGAATCAAACCGGTGACCGTGTTGCTCAGAGCTCGCGCTCTTAACCAACTGAGCCACCCGGCCGGCCCCAGATGCCCCATCCTGTTGCAGGTTCCCAGCGAGGATTCGGCTCAGGTAGGCGCCTTGCAGAAAAAGTCCCAACACTCACATGAGTTGTGCATGCTGGCTGTTTGTGTTATTTAATTAATTTATTTATTTTTAGCTGAGCGATCCTGCCACCTGTTGGCAGTTCAGCTGGGGCTGGGACTCGAACCGCTGTTGCTCAGAGCTCGCACTCTTGAGGGAGCTCTTAACCAACTGAGCCACTCGGCCAGCCAGCCCCCAGGCTGTTTGTTTTAAACAGCAGTCCTGACACTGCTTGGAGGCAGTCACCCCAGCAGGTACTGGAAGGCCCCCTTGCCTGGTATGAGCTGCAAAACCAGAAGACAATTTGGACTCCAGGCAGATTGTTTTCATTTTAAATAAGGTTGATTTAAAAAGTCTGCCTTGGGATGAGTGTGAACTTGATCATACCACAGAGTCCAGGGCTTGAGAACAGACACAGGTGGATGGAGTAAGGAGAGCTGAGCTGAGTTTTGATGGCCCGGGTCTGGGTCTGTCCACCTGGCCTGAAGGCTGGACGCTGGCTGCCACACCCCTTGGAGAAGGGGACTGACTCAGCAGAGGGAGGTGGAAATGCGTCTGTAGCAGATGTTGGCACTATGGAAGTTTCCACCCTAACTGAGAGCATTAGGAAAAGCTCCCCTCCCACAAAACAGCCATTTGGTCACCTGTCCCTTTCCTTGCTGACCAGCAGAGTGGGCGACTACAACGTGACTGTTTATCCTGAACTCAAGGACAAAAACCTGACCCTGGGCTCGCGTGGAGACAGGCTGACCATGAGCACGTGGACAGTGCACTGCTGGGTCAGGGTTCCCCCACAGCGGCCTCACTTGGAGAGAAGCGAGAGGCCCGCAGGCCACACAGGGTGGCGTGGTCACTGAGAGGAGGGGTGGGAGCTGTGCCAGGCGTGGCCCCTGCCCGATGGCTGGGCCGTGGGGGCCAGCTCCATGCGGGTGTCTGCTGAGGCAGCGGTGGCGCTGGGACGTGTGTGAAGGAACCTGTTGGACGGCACCTGGGCACCTGTCGCCACCGAGAGCCCGACATTCGCCCAGCACTGGGAGGAGGCGCCCGGGCAGCCTGGGGGCCGCGCTGCCCCTCGGACAGACACAGATGACCAGACAGACAAGGACGGACCAGAAGGTGAACGGGAGGTGACTGTGGAAAATTAACACTTTCTTCTGCATTAATTTCACAAAATTTGCATATTTATTTTGTTTTCCAAATATTCTACTATAGGCTCAATTGCCTTTATAAATATTATAAAAGCAATTAAGAAGCAAATAAAAACGGATACTGGGGTGGTGGGAGAACTGGGAGGAGACCCCGACTCTGCTGGCTGGGCCCCACCGCCCCCTGTGGCAGCGCCCCTTCCCCGAGGAGCCAGCGTGGGAGCCTCTGCTCGTTCTGGGGAAGGACCTGTGAGGGTTCCCCCCCCCCGTTATTGTTGAATTGTGTCCACCCCACCCCCAAATTCATGCGTCAAAGCCCTTCCACCCAGCCCCTCATGGGACTGTGTTGGGAGATGGGTCTTTAAAACCGTGATTTAGGTAAAATGAGCTCCTATGTACCTGGTGACCTTAGGAGACAAGGGCACAGACACACACAGTGGGAGGACCACGTGGGGACAACGGAGATGGACGTGGCTCCAGGAGAGGGGCTGCTGGAGGGACCAGCCCCGCACACACCTGGACCTGGGACCTCCAGCCTCCAGACGTGGGATGGTAACTCATCCCCCACCCAGGGGCCAGTCTGGATGGAATGGGGAACCCTGGGGCCCATGTGGTCAGAGTCCTCGCGGAGAGCCCCCTCCCCCCCATCTGACGGAGTGGCTGGTCAGCATCTTCTAGCTGCAGGAGCAGATGGGAACCCCCTGCTGGTTCATGTCCAACAGATCCACCAGAAGGCCAAGTTAAAAAAAAGTGAGGGTGACCTCCACACAGTCTGGGCCCCCCAAAAGGGACTCAGGGGTGCTCCTTCCAATTTTCAGCCCATGGGCCAGGTCTGCCAGTGGGGCCTGAGGGGTGGTTGAGAGCTGGGGGCTGGGGGTCCCACAGGGTCCACCCCAGGATTGTCCTCTCCACTCCTGCACTGTAGGGACTGCTGGGGGAGGGGTGTTTTGGGGACCAGCTATGTGGGGCCTAGCTCAGGGCCATGCCTGGCATTGGGGTCCCAGGGGTCCTCACAGGGACCAGCAGAGAAGGAGGCTGGTGCAATCCCCAGGCTGTGCCTGAGTCTACACTGTGGCACCCTGGGGTGTCCACTGGGCCCAGGCACTCGGTCAGTGGCACAGGGATTCCCCGGCTCTGACCCAGAAGCGTGTGGCAAAGCCTCTTACCTGGGAAGCTGCTGCCCGGCCTCCTTCGTTAAATCTTGGGAACACTCTCGAGGGCTAACAGGAGCGGGGTGTGGGAGAAGCTGGCAATGGTCCTCTGCCCACACGTCACCCTTGGGCCCCCCCTCTCTCCTCCTGCCCCTGCCCTGGCCCACCCCCAAGGTTGCTGGGCGTCCATGTTGGCATGGCCTAGCGGCAGGGTGCCGCTTGCTCCTTGAGGATGGACCCACCATGCTGGCACCCCGGGCACAGGTCATCAGTCCTGTCTGAGGAGAGTCGCCCAGGGTGAGCCATGCATCCGGGGGCCTGAGGGGGTTCGTTTTGCTCCCTCACCGTGGGAAGGGCAGGTCTGAGAAGGTGATGGTGAAAGAGTGGGACTGAGCGCCCAGCCCAGTGTCCGTGTAAGAATTTGGTGGGTTTGCTGGGTCTCTTTTGTGCGTGAGGCCAGCTTTCATTTAAGTCCAGGAGATTCTGAGGGGGACATGGAGCCCTGGCGTCTTGGCTCAGCATCCTGGGGGCTGGCCAGGAGCACCGGGAGTCAGCTGGGTCTGTGGGAGACCGTAGGGATGGTGGCCAGCTGTGAGCAGGACAGGCCCCCAGTGGCGTGGCTCTGAGCTGTTGCTGCAGGCGCAGGGGAGCCCCGAGGGGCCATGCTGTGTGACCTTCGCTTTCCGAGGTCCGGAAGCTCACTCCTGCTTGGCACCCCCACTGCCCAGGGCCCAGAGATGCGCCTGATTCAGGACTGGTGTGCAGGGGCAAGGACTCACGAGGGGTCCTGCGGCCTCACCCGGTCACTGTCCTTTGGAGGTGTGCATCCGGTGTTGGCGGCATTGCCGCCTGTCACGCTCAGCCCGGGCTTTGGTCTAGCAGCTGGCGAATGGCGCTGAGAAACCAAGGTGGCCCCCCCAGGAACAATGTGGGGACAGGGCTCCTGAGCCCGCGGCCCAGGCCTTTATCGGGGGCTGAGTGGGCAGCTGTGCCTGCGGAGAGCACAGGACGCAGAGGGCTGGCCAGCCTTCCGCAGGCTGCTGTCACTCCCGGCCTTTCAGTGTCTGGCCAGCTGAATGGGCCGCCGCTCTGAGGCTCGAATCCCGACACAAAGGGGGCTGTTGTCCCGCAAGGGCCCTTCTGCGAAGAAAAGCCATTGTCCCGAGTGAGCGGCCGCCCGCAGGCAGGCGGGGCGCGCTCCAGTGCCCACCGGGCCCGCCGCACGGCATTCAGGCTGTCCACTCGCATCAGCGGGCACTCACCACTCAGTGTGCTGCCGTGTTTCATGTCTAGGCGGCTGGCCCTGGAGGCATGAATGCCCACCTTTGTCCACTGAGCTATTTTATTTACATTTTTTAAACAGCTTATCAAGGTAAAAAGATAGCTTTGCTTTAAAAAAAAAAAAAGGTAGGGGGGAGGCTTGGCTCCAGGCCCACGCTGAGGATCCGAGGCCCCGGAGAAGGCCCTCTGCCCCGTGGAGCGGGCGGCCCAGGGGCTCTGTGGAACCCTCTTCCCACAGTTGCTGCCCGGCCCCTCTGGGTTTTCTTAGTTATTTGCCCCAAAAGCAGCAGTTGTGGGTCCTGTCTGGCCAGAGACCCCCGCAGCCCCCAACCCAGCCACCAGGCACCCGCAGTTCCCTTCCCAGTGGTTGGCTCGCTCATCCTCCCATGTGGAGGCCCATAAGCTGCCAGGTGGGCCCAGCCCTGGGCAAGTTCCTTCTGTGGGGCCTGAGCCCCTCCCCACCTTCTTTCTACTGTGCCTGCTCACTGGGACTGGATCTGGGGCCAATCACAGGTGCCTGGGCTGGCGGGTGATCTTCCTACACCTGCTGGGCCTCCCATGTGACCAGGCAGTGGACAGTGGGCAGCGGGCAGTGGGCAGCAGGCAGCCTGGCCTGCAGTGAGCTCAACAGAAGCTCAGACTGAGAAATGACCAGGGACTGACTCTAAGCCAGGCCTGATGGCAGTGATAGAACCCCATGGACCCCCGAGCCCCAAGATGGAGGCCAGGCCAGGGGGACTTCCTGGAGGAGGTGGTTCTCCTGCCAGTTGTCCTCCCCAGGTGACTGCAGCTGCTCCGGATATAGCCAGGACTCCCTCGCATGGTTGGGTGAGACCCAGTGGACTCCATCCTTGTTCTGTGCTCTCCCCCCAGCCCAACCTCCAGGCCACAGAGCCCCGGGGGCTGTGCTGCAGAATGAGGGCACCTCCCAAACTGCCCTTGGGGGGTGTCCATGACCTTCCAGCCCCAGGCACCCAAGCCACACCCCTGCAGCATCCACGCAGGCCTCCTGGCCGAAAGAGGGCGCCCTGGGTGCATGAGAGCTGTGGGCGGGCCTGGACGAGAGCTGGCTGCTCTGGGCAAACGCAGGGAGAGCAGGCCTAGAGGAGGCAGCCAGACTCCTCAGGCCCCTCTGGCAGCGTCCCTGTGCGGCCAGGTGGTGTGTGTGCCCCACCCCACAGGTGAGGCCTGAGCCGCACACCTGGGGTGGGTGGGGCCAGGCTCCAAGCACAGCCTGTTCCTCCACACGGTCCCCAACCTCTCCGCAGACCGTAGACACAGTGCCCGCTCGTGGAGGGCTCTGCCCGCAGGGCAGTGGGGGAGCAGGTTGGGGTGGGCACAGGAGGCCCCCCGGATGCCGCTGGCTCCTCAGGGGAAGGGAGTCCTGGCAGGCAGAGAGGGGGACCCTGGAGGGGTAGGTGAGCAGGCCCCAGGCCACCCTCCACAGAGAAGCGCCAGCAGCTGCCCTTTCCTGCCCAGGGGCCCAGGTCACCGGACCAGCCTACCCTTTCCAAACCTGAGGCCTCACTCCAGGATTCAGAGGGGTTCCTGGATGGGTTGGGGGCCCACAGAGGGCTGGGGCCTGAAGGACCATGAAGCCTTGTCTTCCACGGAGCTGGACCAGCCTGGGGGTGAAGGCTGATGGTAAAGCTGCAGAGGTGGGGGAGGGGCTCGCCTTGTGGCCCTCTCACCTCTGGGGAGTCACTGGCCCAGATCCCGCCCTGGAGAATGGGAGGGTCGTGAACCCTAGCATCCCTCCCATCGCCCCTTCTTCTCCGAACCCTGGCCCTATGCCCCCTCCCCCGGCCCTGGGCCCCTGGGGCCTGGCGGAGGCCAAGCTCCTGGACCCCGGCCAGGCTGTAGAGGCGCCGGTCGGAGCGTGCTGAGCAGGGAAGGGCCCCCTGGCCCCGGGCCCCACCCTCCGATCTGGGCTGGAGGCTGGAGCGGGCCTTTCCCAGGCCGCTATTTTGGTCCTTTCTGTGAGCTGTGCGGGAGGGGCGGCTGCTCTGTGGGTTATTTTTGCTCATAATGGGAGCGCGATGTATGGAAATTATTAATAGCACGGCCTATCCTACGTGCCGGCACTCAGGGCCTCGCGTTTGCACTGCCGCTGAGTGGGAGGAGGTCCCCGGGCCTGGCGAGGGAAACCTGGTGTCAGGATCTGGTTTCTCAGCAGCGCCCACTGCCCCATCCGAGGGACAGCGGCCCCCAGGAAAGCGGTGGGGTGCAGAGCCTCTTGCTCTGTGGGTCCTGGGGCAGCTCTGTGAATGCCCCCAACACACACAGACCACACCACCTCTGCCTCCATGGGACAGACGGCCCATGCAGCTAGTGGTTTGGGGGTTCACAGAGGCGGGGAGTGCCAGCCCAGCACTTACTTGCCTGAGGGGAGGATGTTTCTGGGAGAGCAGGTGGGGGGAGAGCAGGTGTGGGCTCCGTGGGTACTGGGGGTGGGCTTCTGCCTCTTGTCTGCCCCCATCTCCATCTTCTACCCACTCATCAGCAAGCCCTGGTCAGGGCCACCTAGGCCCAGCACCTACCGCCAGGCCAGGTACCAGCCTGGGAGGGGTGGGGGTCATTCCTTCCTGGTCCCCTCCATGCAGCGCCTGGCTCAGTATCGGGGACTTGTCAGCCAAGAGGCTTCTGGATTCTAGGCCCCTGGGCCTGAGGCCACGTGGCTGGACTGGAACAGGCGCCGTGGCTGTGCCAGCACAACGGGGAGGTGACCAGGCGTCTGTGCAGAAGCGTGGGAGCCCCCAACACGGTGCTGCCTGTCCCCCAGGCCCCGTGCAACCCGCTCCCTTTGTGTCTGCCAAGCTATCATGCTGGGCTCGGCTGAGGCTGCAGCCAGAACTTGATGTTGAAAAGGTGAGTGTCTTTCTCATGTAAATGTTAGGTTCCAACTTGGACAAGGCCCAGGTCCCCAGGGCAGGCATCTCCCATCACTGGGCCCTGGGCTCACTCCCGCAGGGTGGGGCCAGGGGTGCTGGAGAGCAGGGTCACGTGTGACCTGAGAGGAGGGGCACGGAGGGGCAACCAGTGCTCTGAGAGGTCAGCGGCTGTGGCTCTCACGCGCCAGGAGTCCTCCATGCCAGTCTTCCTCTGCATGCGGTGGCCAGAGGGGGATGGGAGCTTCCCAGCAGGACCGCTCCCCTGGGGTCCTGCCCTGGTAGAGGTGTCCCCATCCAGCCTGTCTCCAGACAGCCTGACCTATGTGGGGGAGGGAAAGGGACGTGATGCGGGGTCTTCTGCAGGAGCCCCTGCGCGAGGGCTTTGTCGAGGCCAGGTTCTCGCAGGGAGGATGGTTGGCATGTCCCAAAGGGCCTCCTGGAGGGTCTGGACAGCTTGGGGTCTTGTGTGTGCATGCCAGGCCCATGCCATTTTGCCCAAGACAAGGCATTTCTGGGCCACAGGACCTGGGACTTCGGTGTTTGGTCTCCATCCTGCTCCCACAACTCAGCGAAGACAAGGAGACAGCTGAGCTTCCCCAGGACACCCCCACCCGTCTCCTGGAGTGTCCAGTCCTTTGTCATGGAGATGTGAGTGACCGCAGAGTCCCAGGGACCGGACCCAGACAGCAATGGGGCCTGTGTGCATGTGTGTGAGTGTGTGGTGCTTGTGTGTGTCCACTGTGTGCATGTACTCGTGTGCGTGCATGGGTGCACATGTGTGTGCAGGGTGCAGGCTTGACCGGTGTGTAAAGGTTTCCCAGAAGGGCTCAGGTGCGGGGCCTCCTGCACCCTGGGGGAGGCAGGCCACGTGCTCTAGCCTCCGGGCCCTCTGGGTTCTGATACTCTGGCCGAAGGTGAGTGTGGGGTCTTGGCTGTGGGCTGTGTCCTGAGAGTGTGTCCCTGCAAGTCAGTGCCCACTGCTTCTCCAAGACAGGGTGAAGCTCGTGGAGCTGATGTGGATGTGGGCGGCTTCCCCAGCCTCCAGAGGCACCCGTGGACTCCTGGTGCCAGCCTGGTTTGACATCAGAGCCGTCGCCAGGTGAGCCCCACGGGGGCCCAGGGTGGTGGCAGGAGAGGCAGTCCTGTGGGATTAGACAACAAGAACTGCACAAACATCTCAATATAGAGAGAAAAACATATAAAATTCAAAACTTATTCATGATAAAAACTCTCAGCAAACTACAAATAAAATTTCCTTAATCTGATAAAGCATATTACTGAGGAAAGAAAACTACAGCAGGCATCTGTTTTAAAAAAGTTTGATTGAGTGTGGTTCCTGTAATAACAAACTGCGTGTTTGCAGCGTGTGATTTTACACCTTTCGATGAGCGTGTGTGTCCATGAAACCATCACCACAGCCGATTCAGAGCCCACGGCTCTGCCCGTCCCCATCACCCTCACCGTTCTTGGGACCCCAGCCTGCTTCCTATTACTAGAGATTCCTGTCCATTTCCAGAACATCATGTACACAGAGTCATGCGGCACGGCCCCTTCCAATGCTCATCACCGCCTTAAGGTTCATCCAGCTCCTGTTTATGTCCGCAGTTCACGCCTGCCCTGCAGAGCTGCGCCCCAGGGGACGGTGTGAGCGAGCCACGCTCCTGTGGGCATTCAGGTGCTGTGAGTTCCTGCCTGTTACAGGTGCAGCTGCTTTGCACGCCTGTGTGCACGTCGGCTCTCACTTCGCTCAGGTAACTGCCTGGGAGAGCAATGGGTAGACCACGGTGAGAAGCTGTCAGGCTGTTCCTTCTCCAGTGGCTGCACCGTGTCCCTCTCTCCTGCAGCGTGAGAGCTGCAGCCGCTCCCCATAGCAACACCTGCTATGGTCAGCCCTTAGATTTAGCCGCGCCTCCATGTGCATGGTGGCACCTCGTCCTGGTTTTGACTGGCAACCCATGATGCTGGCATGTGCTGGTCGCATCTGTTTATCTTCCCAGGTGAAGCAGCTACTCCATCTCATGCACGTTTTAAAGTTCAGCTTATTGTTTTCAGGTTACTGAGTTTTGAGATGTTTCAAAATATAATTGCAGAGGAAAGTCTGTTATCAGGTATGTTGCTTGCAGACATTTACTTCACCCTGCGGCTGGCTTTTTATTCTTTTCAGTATGTCTTTCAAAGAACGAAAACCCCTGGTTTGTCGAAATCTCAGTTAGCAGTTAAACACAAGTGTTGGAACCTCTCAGTGTTTGTTGTTAGCTAATCTTTGCCTAACTCAAGGGCACAGACGTTTTCTGCTGCTTACTTCTTGAAGTTTTGTAATTTAAGGTTTTACGTTGAGATCTATGATCTGTTTTTAGGTCGTTTTTCTATGGTGCCAGATATGCAGTGAAATTATTTTTTTTAACATATGGATGTGTACCTGTTCCAGCAGCATTTGCTGTAAAAGGTTGTCCTTTCCCATGGACTCTGCCTGCTGCCGGCGTGTGCGCTCTGCCCTGACTGCCTGCCGCCGCCGTTGTCCACCTTGCTGGAGGCTGCGCACCCTTCTCACTGCAGCGGCACCACGGCAAGTCGGGCGGTGCTAACACTCCAATGTTGTTGTTCCGTTTCAAAGTTGTTTTCATTATTCTAGGCCCATTGCATTTCTATATGAATTTTAGAATCAGTTTCTCAGTTTCTACCCCCAAAAAAGCATCCTGGGCAGGAGAACACAGCAGGGCGCTGAGGCCTCTGGCCTCGGCCTCACGAGCTGAAGAGCCACACAGACCCAAGAGCTGGAATTAAGGTCCTCAGAGACGCTGCATGCAAAGGAAGCGCTGGGGCCCCGAGAAGGCCTTTCTACGCGGAACAGACTCGTCCATAAAAACACGACAGTAAATGGAAAGCTCGATAAAACGCCTGGAAGATAAGGGTGCAGATATCTCCCCCAAGCTAGCACAGAACAAATAAACAAAGGGAAGGAAAATCACAGAAGATGAAAAAAGCTAGAGATTCTGTCAGGAAGGCCCCACATCCCAGTCATGGGGGTTCCGGGAGACCTGGGAGGGAGGGTGTCACCCAAAAGCCCTCTCATTGGAAGGACATGCAAGCCAGGCTTATCAGGCGTGCGGGCTGGCCAGAGAGTGGACACAGAGAGACCCCCACTGTGGACGGCCCTCACAGCCTCAGAAACAGCAGGAGTTGGGCTGGGTCCCGGGAGCAGCGCCTGCTGGTGCTAAGGGACAGTTACGTCAGCCCAGAGTCTCGGCTCCGCCGGACTCTCCGCCCAGCTGAGGAAGGACAAGCCTGGGATGCCTGCCATCTCCAGAGACATCTACACCCCTCGACCGTGGGAAGCTTCTGTGGGTTTTCAGCCTGGAGGTGTGACAGGTGCGAGGCCACCACCACCACAATGGCCGATGGCCGGGCCTGGGGAGCTGCTGGGGCAGGATGGGGTAGGGACGGGTGACGCTGGTCACCTGGCGTGAACGGAGGAAGTGGGCTGGGTCATCAGGGTGGGAAAGTAAGGAAGCAATGGATGCAGATAAGTGTCAGCCCCTCAGAAAACAAGACAGAGTGGCTCCGCCGTGACAAGAGCGCATGGTAAATGCAGCACATGCTAGCTTAGCAGAGCTCAGACAGGGTGTTGTTTGGGGAGGAGGGCCTCCAGGGAGAAACACCTAAAACCAAATAATCGAGCGAACACAAGACAGGTGTGCTGTCTGGAACCATGGAGGCAAATACAAGACCATTGCACCATGACTGTGAGGTGACTGGGGCGGGCAGGCATGGTGACATGCTGCCTTTTCTATAAGCCTTGTGGACCCACTTGACTTTAAAACTGTGCACGTGTGTGATGTTGATAGCAGTGAGAATCTTAAAATGTATTAACTTAGAAAGAAAGCGGGGCTGGGCAGCAGGTCCTGGACCCTGTGGCCAGCACCACTCAGGGACATGGGATGGGCTGACTTTCTCCCGCCTAGCTCCCCCTCACCCACCCCGGGCCTCTGCCCACCTGGGGGGACTGCTGGGAGGACCACCGAGGCTGTGCCTGCACTGAGCTCATCTCAAAGGAAACGCCTTAGCGATGGTGTGTGTAACTCACCTTTTTATTAGATTGTGGAAACGCTACTCAACTCCCAGTGTGCCGACAGTGTTCAGGAAGGGAGTTGAGTTTTATCAGACACTCCTTCTGCGTCTTGGGCTTTTAACCTTTTTAGCGACTCCTCTGTCCCCTTTGATCTGCTGCCGGCAGGCGACAGTGACTTACACGGTCAAACCAGCCTTGCATTCCTGAGCTATCCCCGCCCCTCCAGGCCGCACAACCATTTCCATACATTGCGAGGCTCGTCTTGCTACCTTCCCCTTTAGTTAGGGGTTTTTGCATCTGTTTAGGAAAGTTCATGACTGACTTTCTTGAAATGTCGGTGTCTGGTTTTGTGTACAAAGTGAAGCTGGGGCCGGCTGAGTGGCTCAGTTGGTTAAGAGCTCGCTCAAGAGTTTGAGCTCTGAGCAACAGGGTCCCCGGTTTGATTCCCGGCCCGAGCTGAGCTGCCGCTGAGCTGCCAACGGGTGGTAGGATGGCTCAGCTAAAAAAAACAAAAACAAAAACAACGTGAAGCTGGCCTCCGAAAATGAAATGGATGACAGCCCCTTCTTTCCTTCCCTCTGAGGCCGTTTGTCTGAGATTGGGATTATTTCTTCCTCAGATGTCCGGTAGAAATGGCCCATGAACCTGACAGGCTCTTCTTGTGGAAATGTGACTACTGATTCGTCTTGGCTGGGCGGGGTTGAGATTTGAAGGAATTTGTCCATTTTGTTTACAGTTCCAGGTGTACTGTCGTGAGTCGTCCATAAGACCCCCTTGCTAACTTTCAGATGCCAGCAGCGTCCTGGCGAGTCACTGTTCTCGCCTTCTCTTTTTTTCTTTTTCATTTCTCTTGATCAGTCTCACTTGAAGTTTTAGCTTTTTCAAAGAACTAGCTTTTGGCCTTTCCCTCCCAGTGTTATTGAGATACAACTGACATATAACACTGCACTGGCTTCACGCGTACAACATAATGACTCGCTATGTGTGTATCCTGTGAAGCGGTCTCCACAGTTAGTTCAGCTACCATCCACCACCTACAGAGGCACAGTTTTTTCTTACAAGAACTTTTAGGATCTCCTTTCTTAGCAATTCCAAATACACAGTATTGGTAGCTATAGTCCCCATGCCCCACGTGACTATCTATCCTAGAGCTGGAAGTGTGTGCCTTTGAGTCCCTTCGTCCACTGCCTCACCCCGCACCCACAGCCCCCGAGAAAACCAACCTGTTCTCTGTTTCAATGAGTTCAGTTTTTTTTAGATCCCGCATATCAGTGAGATCATATGGTGTTTGTCTTTCTCTGTCTGACTTATCTCACTGAGCGTAACACCCCCAGGCCCATCCATGTTGTCGCAGATGGCAGTGGCAGGATTTCCATCTCTCTCATGGCCGTGTGATATTCCGTTGTGTATACAGCACACCCTCTCAGCCTCTCAACCGTCACAGACACTTATGTTGGTTCTATGTCTTCACATTGCGTATAATGCTGCAGTGAACACGGGGTGCAGATGTCTCTTCCAAATCCTGCTTTCATTTTTTTCCGATCGATACCCAGAACTGGGATTGCTGGGTCATGTGGTAGTTCTATTTTTAATTTTTTGAGGAACCGTCACACTGTTTTCTATTGTGGCTGCACCAATTTCCGTTCCCTCCAAAGTGCACCAGGGTTCCCTCCTCGCCAGCACTTATCTCTTGCCTTGATGATACCATTCTGACAGGCGTGAGGTGACATCTCCCTGTGGTTTTACTTTTTATTTCCCAGGTGATGAGTGACGTTGAGCACCTTTTCATGTGTCTGTTGTCATCCGTGTGTCTTCTTTGCAAAAATGTCTATTCCGTTTCTCTGCCCTTTTTAAAATCAGATTATTTGGAGTTTTTTTGTTTTTGTTTCACTGTCAAGTTGTATAAGTTCCTTATATATTTTGGCTATTAACCCCTTATCCAGTATGTGGTTTGCAAATATCTTCTCCCACTCCGTAGGTTGCCCTTTCATTTTGTTGATTGTTCCTTTGCTGTGCAGAAGCTTTTCAGTTTGACATGGTCCCACAAGTTGTTTTTGGCTTGTGTTGCCCTGCTTCTGGCTCGTTGGTTCTCCCAGCCCACGCAACTAAAATGTAAGCCTTCTTTCTTCTTCTTCTTCTTTTTTTT